TATTTATTTATATATTTGTGTATATGTATATGTATATATGTGTATATATATATAAATATATATATATATGATTGAATCTATATATATAAATACGTGTGCGCGCTTGTGTATATGTGTATATGTGTATGTATGTGCGTGTGTGTGTATGTGTGTGTGCAGACTTGTATATTTATTTGCCTCTTGTGAATACCTTCAAATTTGTGTAAATTTATTCACATGTATAGGGAATAAATCACCTGCAAGTATATACAGCATTTATGCCACTAGACAACCATACTAGCGTGTACCTATATCAAATTTTTTCCGATTCAATTTGTTTGGATATTTTTAAGTTTCGACAAGGTATGAACTCCCTGTACGTAGGAGAATCATAAATACGTTCGTTTATATCTGTCTCAAAATTTGTTCAAAGACATAAACTACATTTTCATCTGTATTGTGCAGAAGTATACAAGCAAGCGGTTCTACTATTTTAAATGTGACACTAATATGCATAGTTTATTACATTTATTCATTATATCGGATCTCGTCCTCAGAGCACCTCAAATTGGATCAATTGAAGGCGTTATAGTACACTACCACATATATATCAATATTTCACCTAACTGAATTTATTGCACCTACCTGTCGTTGTACATAAACCCGTGTTTGGTATAGGCGAAGTTTGAGTTTGCTCCGTCCAAATTCCTCGTCGTTCTTCAACAATCGCTTTAAGTGGCGAATCTCGTCTGTGCTTGCCACCCGAGCTGAATTGTGAGCTTCAGCCATGTTGCCCGGTCACGTTGTCGAATGGAATGGGTATAATCTCTTGAATATCGAAAAAGATATTGTTTTGACTCTAACGCATATAATATGTCTTCTCTCAGCTTGCATGGGCGACTGGGCGTGGACACTGCTGTGCTTCCTGCTATCATTCAAACCATACGATAAATACAAGAAAGCTTTCTGCAGCTATTGACCTATTTGTTTATTGTGCAGGCTGTAACTGTTGGTATGAGCTGTTTTTTTTTCTGTTTTTTTTTCTAAACAAATAATGTAGAAATACAAATATTTGTGTAAATATGTAAATATTTATTTATGTTTATATGTACATCCGTATTTTATTTTGTTTTTGGGAAAAACTGAGTAAATATCACACTAAAGTAAAAAAAGTCTACTTGCAATGCTTTTTTGTGACATTTTCGCCGGACACGTTTTTCGACATCTCCTCACTCCAGCGACCTGCCGAAGTGCAGAGGGATGGTGACTGGCTATGGTCTGTGTCACTGTGTGTGATTGCCTGATTGGTGAGTGTGTGGTGAGTAATAGTTCTAAGTTCTGACTCTCGTGAGTGGCGACTGGGGCCAGGCCGTCAAGGGGGTGGGATGAGTGCTGACTGTTGACTGTTGAGTGTTGTTGACTCGTGAGTCGTGAGTCGTGAGTCGTGAGTCGTGACTACCAGTACTACATATTTTATTATTTTATGTCAGGAGGCGCTCAAAGCGTAGGCAATCAGCTGTTTTATATATATATATATCACCAGTGCCAGAGAAGGTGACGAGTCGTCACATTCTCAAAATAATGGCCCGGGTTTTTTGGGGGGGGGGGTTTGGGAATGTACGAGTCGTCACATTTCACTACGAAATTTTTTTAGCCCTTATTTGCCCCACGAATGATTTGTTTTGGCCCTTAGCTATTTGTCGGAATCAAAAGACCGGAAAATTCAGCGCGAAAACGAGCCAAGAAACACATTGATCGGACAATCGACACCGAAATGGTAGATGTTTGAAGTTGTAACTTATGTAGTATGAAGTTGTAACTTCTATAGTAAACGTGTACATAAACTCACAATCGTGCTAGCATAGTAGTTACAAAGTCATTATGGTACGCAACGCTTTAGGCTTAACACACCCTCAGCGAGAGGCTGATAACCGCCCATAACATACACAGAATGTACATGTTGATAGTTATAGTGAAAGTCATTCACTAGATGCATGCGATTCACTAGATGCACGCAATGAAAGTTCTTTTTCACGATTCCACAAAGATGAACACTTCAAGGGCGAGTTGGTAGGCGTTAGAGGGAACAGACGCAAGTCTAGTACCAACGGCAGTGCTAATGTTAGTGGTGATGGTGACTCTGTTGACGACGAGTGCAACAGACGTACTAGTGGCAGTACTAGTGTTAGTGATGGTAGTTCCTCTGATGACGATGAGCGCTAGTAAGCTATGTCAAGGACCATGGGTTTACCTGGTTGCCGTGGACTCTACGGGGCGGGGTGGGGCCCCGTAGGCAAGTGAGCAGTGTTAATAAAACCCTAAACCCAAATCACACTAGCCTTTTTTTTAATTAAAATTTTATTGAATGAAATATTCATTAAAAATCCGTCGGTACTTTTGAAATATTGCTGGAAGTGCAAGTGGTTTTGGATCTGTTTTGCCAGTTTCTATCTTGATAATTTACCTTGTGGATCCAAATTATAAAATTACTAAAAGAAATCGGGATTTGTGAATGTAACGACTCGTCCCATTTCATTTTGATTTTTTTTTCTTTGTACCAGTTCTGGTACAAACTATTTTTGGGGGGAAATCCTTACCGGGTGCATTTTGGTGAAATGTGACGACTCGTCACATTTTGTTTTGACACTGGTGATATATAAATAGAAACGGTATCCAGGCCGGAAAAAAATAACCGGAAAAAATAACCGGAAAATGCACGTTTACGTATATTTAAATATTTAGGGCTTAGTGAATAATGATGTCAAGCAGGCCACCAATTAGTTTTTTTTAAATACACAACAATCAATCAAAATTCAGACCGTTCAGATGCGTTATTTCACGTATGGTCGGATTTTCGCTACACCAATGAGTGAAGGCTACGGCTAATTTTAAAATTTCATGAAAAGCAAAACAAAAAAAAGCCAAACAAAATCCGATAATAAATCAGAAGTTCCGAACGAGGGCAAACTTTCGAGGGCATCATATTACTCATAGTTCATGCTCTCTAAAGAAATTCTGCGTTCGGACATATGTAGTGTCGGACTCTCCTCGATATATAAACCTAACTAGGTTTTTCGGTTGCGCACTTTATCATGTCTCGGTATTTCGTACTCTGCACTAACCCATTCCGCGGCACTACACGGCGCAGACCCGATCCGTACCACAGAGGTGGGTACTCTACTTAGTAGGTCAGCAAGTGAATATATGGAACATTCGATAGTAACAGTGTTTTGTCAACACCGGCCCGA